AGTTTCTAGGTTATTTATCTATACGTATTACTACAGGACCACGTCTGTCGGGTCCGCTAGTCTATCTATAAAAATCTTGGTGACGGCATCGCGCGTGAATGGCTGGACCGATTTCACTAATTCTTTTTTGTTGTATTTGTTATTATCTATATATATAAAAGAAAGTCGTGTTAGTTACACCACTTATAACTCAAGAACGGCAGAATAGATTTGGTCGAAAATTGGTAGGGAGGTAGCTTAGAGCCAGGAGACCGACATGGGATACTTTTTAACCAATACTTATTTTTACTTTTTACCGAACATCACGAAGGGGGCGGGAAAAAATGGGATTACGCGTACGAAGTCGCAGGCAGAAGCTAGTTATTCATAAAACAGAAAAAATCACTGAACGGGTACGGCAGAAAACGGCATTGAGCGTAGAAGCCGCAGGCAGAAGTTAGTATATTATAATTACCAGTCATAAACACTACTGGTAAGTATCAAGTGCCACGTTTGTATATTGAAAGATGGTACAATTTATACATAATAAAACACCGATGCATAACTTCATCTAAAAACCGGAGTCACTACATTTAAATATTTGCATTAACGAGGCTCGTAATTAAATCAATTAGAAAAAAAAAACTAAATAAAACTTTTTCGTTGTAGATTCAGACTAAAATATTCATTAAACATTTATTCAAGATCAGATGCATTCACGGAAAACTACACATTAGGCTAAGTCTAACCAGTATAAACTGACCTGTAAATGTGCGGAACGATCATATCAAGCGAGTCCATGACAATCTGGTTATGTATAGCTTGATCTGTAACTGGTGAGCCAAAGTCGTAAGGAGGGCAGAAATAAATTTCCCGGTAGCTTCACGGTATTGTAAACATATCACCTTTGTATACAGAGAAACAGTTGTAAAACTCTATCGGGGTCATTTACGATCTGTTGTGCAATTTTTAGAATCTACTGCTAAACATTGTGTCTGTATGAAATAGTGAGGTGAATGGAAAAGGACATTTAAAGTGTCGCAGGTTATGAACGCAATTCTTTTTTTTTCTTTTCTTTTTAATATTTTTCTCATGTGTCGTGGGTGCGTTTACAAACATACAAGTTCACATACACATGACACCCAGACCCGGAACAATCATCTGTGGATCACACAAAAAGTTGTTCCGTGCGGGAATCGAACCCGCGACAGGCAGCCAGTTGCCCGGTAGCCAAAATTAAAAGTGCCGCAGCTTGGGTAGTCTGATTGACCCACAAAATTCAATGTAACTAACTACATATAATTTTGACTGCGTTACCTATCAATAACACTTATCACAAATGAAAACTTAGACAACTAAATCACAGTACTAGTACATTTTAGTATTTATATTATTGTAATAAAAATAATAAAAATCGTTTATTTGCAACAACAGATTACGGAAGCTATAAATTGTGATTGGAGCGTCCTTTTAAGCAAGATATGCCTGTGTTAGGAAACTCCGCTCTTTCACCACAAGACATACATAGTTAACTTTTAATGTATAAATACAAATACAAACATTGCTTATTCTAATTTAATGACTAAGTTTGAATTTAGTTATTAATTTTTTTATATTTTTTTGTAATTAATTTACTTTTAATTAGAATTTATATGCCCAGGTTTCCTCACGATGTTTTCCTTCATTTTGTCAGTGGTGTGTAGATAATCTTAGAAAGTACATGTACCTAACTCGGAAAAAGTCACATTGGTACTTGCCGTTGGTAGGTTTCGACCCCCGCACCCGAATGCATGAGAAGCGGGCGTCTTAAACCTCCGGGCCACCACGACATTAACAAATTATAATATAAAATTTAAACATCTATACCCAAACGTACCAAACTAAAACTAGCGAGTAAAAAGCAATAATTTTCGCTAACGGCTCAAATTATCAGAATAATAGTAGGTGCTTCCCATGCATAATAAACGGCCACTTAATATTAATAATAATTTCACAAAATCATGCTCTAAACGTGTCTAGAGTTCCAATTTATTTCTATTCACAGTTTATCGGAAATAAACGTCTGAATAGACAGGCAATTTCCAAGTCAACTTTCTTTTCATGATACACCATTTTGAAATCGCTCTTAATATTATACTTTCTTGGTATATTTATTAATTTATTATGACTCTTCTCTTATTATGACTGCTTCGTTGGCCGAGTGGTCGCAAGTGCGGCTGCCGGGCAAGGGATCTCGGGTTCGATTCCCGGGTTCTGGCAAAGTATTAGTGGGTTTTTAAACATTCTCAGTAGTAGCACGGAATCTGGAAATATGCCCGGTATATGGCAATAGGATCACCCCCTTTTACATGGTACTCATAACATATATATTGAAAAGTGGGTGTTACATTGTACAGTCGCATAATGTGCACCTCTTCCAACCCTTTCGAGGACAAAAGGCGTGATGTTATGTTATATTATTATGACTCTTTGAAAATGCTATCAGTTATTGGAGGTACATTTTTAACAATGTCCTATTTAACACCATAAATTAAAAATCATGGGAGAAAGGCGTGTGGTTATGTCTGTATGTACATACACGATGATGATCATTAAACATTATAAAAAAACAGTTTTGTAGGACTTTTAAAATGTAAAAATTGTACAAGTTTATCGCTCTATTTAAACAAAATACATACATAATAACATTTTGTTATAGGTACGTAGTTAATAAGCAGTTTTAGTACGCAACGTGAAAAAGAAAATCTTCTAAAACCACCATAAAAATTACGCAAGGAACCTTCATTTAAGCTTGGCCCAAAACTTTCCCAAAACGAGCAGTCTCACCAAAAATGGTCGTAACTTTTACGCTGTACCTGCTATACTTAAATTCAGGTAGGCAAGCAGAAATTTAGCATAAAGTGGGCTCCAAACCCCTTGAAATGCAGCCTTCATATTACTTACTCTAACTCAAACTTGTGGGTTGCTTCGTAAGCACGAACTAGTTTTATTTACATGGTACATTGAGATGAATATAACTTAAGTTTAATTTTATTCTAATTACCTTAAGAATGTCGTGGTGGCTCGAAGGTTTAAGAGGCCAGCTTCTCATGCATTCAGGTGCGGGGGTCGAAACCTACCAACGGCAAGTACCAATGTGACTTTTTCCGAGTTATATGTACTTTCTAAGCTTATCTAGACACCACTGACAAACGGTGAAAGAAAACATCGCGTGGAATCCTTATCATCATCCTCCTTACCTCCTTACCTCAAACTGACCATCGCGTGGATTATTTCTTTATAAGTTTGTAATCCCCAACCCGCATTGAGCAAGTGTGGTGATTAATGCACAAACCTTCTCCGTGTGAGAAGAGGCTTTGCTCAGCAGTGGGCATTCATAGGCTGTTGTTGATACCTTAAGAAGAAAATGAATTTTGTTTGTGATAACTGAATTACCCACACAGTACCTAATTACACACACATTTGTTACTATCAAAATAACAACGCTGTCTGCCCTTACTTCAGGGAAAACTGACACGTTACGACGAAAATTAATGAAACTAAAAAAGCCTACGTTAATTACTTTGCCAAATGCTTTCGATAATTATAGCGATTATACAACCATTAAATTTGATAGATTACCATTGGCACTTACTAATTACCTACGCAATTTGAGCCTTGAGCCTAATCAATCTATCAATAATGTTTTTATATCGATCATATACTATAAAGTATAAGACATTTTCCTACGAACTTAGCAAACTTTCAGAAGCCCATTAGTTGATCAGAAATGCGCTGATTCATGGCAATACTCTTAGGTTTCTTTAAGAAGAAATGGCTGGATTACAAGTACTAAAATGTTGAGTCTCAAAAAGAAAATGTTTTATCCTTAAAGTTTTTGAAACATGTATCGTTAATCAAGATTATTCTTGAATTTCGCGAGCAATCTGTAAGGCGCGAAGTCATTTTGTGGATATTTTTTTAACATTCTGATCTCCTATGTTCCCCAAAATTTCAAAAGGGTTTTAAAGCCTAAATTTTTCTTGGTTTTATATAATCTAAAGTAAAATAGTACGGGTATGGAATTAGAATTCTCTTAGATGCATGAATTGCTGGTTTAACATAAAATCTGAAAGCCTTTATTAACGTCTCTAAAAACAACGAGTAAAAAATGTTTTTCATAGTGAAAAAATATTTTAGCATACCTACTAACGCCATACTCTAAAATATTCAAGCTGTGTTCCTATATTACTAAGAAATTCGGAGCAAACACGTTTGGAAATGTCGAAATATTTTTGTCAATATCTTAATCTACATTTTCTAGTTCATTACCCAAGTATTACCTATATCAAAACCTAGCTACGAACTCAGGAAAAGCTATTTCGTAAGTAATTACTGAGTTGTTAGTTTCTCAATTATATGTTATTAAGTAATCTTTCTATTCATAGATCTATGACGAGTTTGTTATCACGGAGTATGTGAACTAATTATTTTGCTTAACAACAGTGTGCGACATTTCCTCGTTAGATATCAGTAAGAACATCGTTTTGTTCTTTGTGTGACATCTTCCAGTTATCAATAATTGATAAAAAAATATTTGAAAATTATTAATTTGACAGGCAAAATAAAATACATATAAAAGGATGACAGCGATTGTTGGCTTTTGAATTTGTGATTTCTTTGCTGTAAATGTAGGAGAAGGCTATTGTTTTTCAAATAATAATTAATTATAAAAATATAGTCAAACGGTGACATAAGAATTTTATTTACGGTTGTTTTGTGAAAAGCGAATAAATAAGGATTTACACCTTTAATTTTATTGTGAGTAGTACTATGGCGGCATCAAATCATCAAATACAATGAAAGAAAATAATGTAGAAAAGTAAATGAAAAATTCCATTACAAAATCGAATGTTAATTTGAATGGGAAAATTATTCAAATAAATTCATTGCTAAGCTATATCTCTTTGACTAACGCGATATATTTCCTTTCAGTGACATAGTGTACTGTGACGAGTGATGTATAGTGAACAGTGATCAAAATGGACAAGAACACGGCCGAAGCTAGCAAGGGCGTTCAGATTTGTGGGCAAGTGCGTCGGTTTCGAGACAAAACACCCGATCACTCGACCGACCTGTCGTTCGAAGAGTTGAGGAACAAGTTTGACACAAGCGCGCCACGCGTGGCGAGAACCGAAATCGCTTCGAATCCCGCCACGCACGGCAGCGCCACCCGACAAGTGGTCAGTGGCAAAATCTTCAAGAAGTGCAAGAGCGCTACGTTTCAGATAGATGGCGCCACATACACTATTGGTAAGTCTGCGTCTAAGTAGTTCGGTTTTCCACCACTGTTTGAGGGTGGCGCTAGTTTTATGTTTACAAAAGTTTAAATACGAAATTCGTGTTTCTGTATGTTTAAAACAGATCTGTTTAAATATTTGATTCTAATGGAATTGTGGTGTTTTATTTTATTAGGTGTTTGTTTTAATATCGAAAGCTATTTTGAAATCAAATCCATAGGATTTATTTTAAAATAATGTTTTATATTAGGTACTTAGCTAGACATTTATTTATCATTTAACATTTTCCGATAATCTTTAAAATTATATAAACAGCTATTTTGATCTAGATTAATCTAAACAAACCTCGTAAACAATAATATTCAACATATTAAACTTGATGTGTAGCGAAAATCGAACTTAGACCACGCGGTTCTTGCATAGGGCTTTACCACTGCAATGCGTCGTCGTCCCAAATTTTTGATTATTATTGTAATTTTATTATTTTTAGAGCTTTTACACATAATATCATTACGGCACTTCAATGCCACACCCGCCATACCTGTACGTATGTAGGTATGTTTGTGCGCGATTATCTCGCGATGGGCTGAACGGATTTTGATGCGGTTTTCATGTTGTTACACTTAGGAAAATCTTTTAGTATGTTACTTAACCGACTTGAAAAGCAGAGGTTTGAAGTTGTGTTTTTAAACGTAGTTTGTAAAAGATTTATTTTATTAACTACAAATTATGTATTGTGGGTCGTAGTTTTTATGTTACAAAATAATAATAAATTGATCCTTTGTCTCTACTACATTGTAGTTTGTCAAAATATTTTATAAACAAAAGACTCGCAAAAACTGATTGCAACATCTATTGTCACTTTTCGTGTTGTTTACAATAATCGAGGTCATTGAACTTCAGCCTATCGCGTAAACAAATTATCCCAGTACATTATTATCTGCGCGGATACGTTCACTGCTGAATAGAGGCCTATAATTTTGTACAGGTTTACAATTCCTACGGTTATTCTTTAGCTCTTAGGTAACCTTCAAGAAAAGAGCGTACTCCTTTTTAAAAGGCCGGCAACGCACCTGTGACTCCTCTGATGTTGCGGGTGTCCATGGCCGGCGCAGATTGCTTACCATCAGGCTATTCCATAAAAAAAAGGTCACCGATTAGAAAAGATGCTGGTTTTCATCTCAGGATAATTAGTAGCAGATTTAAGTCGTACTTAGGTCTAATAAAATTCTTATTATACTGCTACTATTTACTGTACTGTACTGTTGGAACTAATTAGTACCAACTACTTGTATCGGTGACTCGGAGGTTTAAGACGCCTTTCATACATGAGGGTGAAGGGTTCAAAATCTACCAACGGCAAGTACCAATGTGACTATTCCGAATTATATTTATATACTTTCCAAAATTATTAAGACACTATTGACAAACGGTTAAGGAAAACATCGTGATGAAACCTGAGGTTATAATAATTTCTAATGATAAGTTTGAAATCACCAACCCCCATTGAGCGTCATCAATCATCAAGCTTAGTAATAATTGCTCAAACCTTCTCTGTGTGAGAAGAGGGCTTTAGTCCTGGGCATTTATAAGCTGTTGATGATGATGACTATAACTACTCATTTTTTCAGTAACCATAGTCTTTGAAGTCATATTGGACTTTCAGGCACTATGAACATAATTGTGTAGCGTCGTATATATCCCTGCATCTCTATGAAGGATCATACTAATGAGTGCATAATATTCCACTTACTAAAAAATAAGGCTCACGCTTAAACCGCATAAACATAAAGCATAAACCGATCACAATCAAAACCCAAATTACATACCACTGAGAATGTTCAGTATTTGATCCGAGGAAATTCCCTGAAAGTCTGACCCAATAACTTCGTTCATGTGAATTATTTCCCAAAACAGTGGTGTAGAAATGTAGCGTAGATTACAATTTATGTATCGATTATTTTGTGGATAAAAAGCGAAGGTATTACCATATACCTATTTTAGTATGTACCTGTATTATCTACAACAACTTCATGACCAGCTTGTGAGTATGTGAGTCTCTGAAGATTTGCTTAGTAAAATCTCTGTGTGGGTACGAGCAGAAGGTTTAAACAGACAAAAGCGCTGCATATTTTACCGATCCTAGAATCAGACTATATTTCAGCTGTAATACTTGCAACAGCTCATTCGACATAGTCAAAAGTCATTGACCTAATACAAAGAATTATTGAGTAATTTATGATCCTAACAATCGATTACACTACAAATCGATGTTTATATCGATGAATTCCACTTATCGCGTGCCCAACTTCGCCGGAACTTGTACGTCTGACATTTGTGATTCAATAGAATTGATTTATTATGTTTCAACTGATAGATATTTATCATTAGACCCATATTGGAAACACGCACGTGTTTCTATTTTGTTGTTTATTTATCATTAAAAATGAGAAAACATAGAGTTTCTTACTCGTTCTTCTTCGTAAGAATTTGTGTTCTAAAATGAGTGTCTGACTTCACGAGGCTCAGTGTATGGCAATGCGCTCATCCTCTATTACATGGAATACATCATCTTTCCAGGTAACAAGTGAAGCGTTATCCACTAAATTATCTCCATATGCACTAAAGAATTATGTGACTGATGTTTGTTATGACTTTTAAAATCTTCTTCAGCGCTGAGGAGTTTCTTTTTTGTATCAGTTTACTACATTATTGCGCATGGTACGGCACACTAGAGTTAAAAATCGTATTCATTAATTGTTTTAAAATTATGAACACAATATTTTAATTTCAACCCTTGTTTTTAACTCATCACAGAAACAAAAAGACTTAAAAGATATTAATTTTACATCGCCAACATTCAGCACAGCCTACGAACACGGAACGCCGTAAAATAAATTTAAAATAACAACAACATAAAACGAGTAAAAAATAAAATAAGGACTAGTACAAAATGATGGGGAATTTCCACAACCCCGGGTTTATCTTGTGCAACGATAAAACAAATTGTTGCCGTGCCGGGTCGAAATGCGTCGCGTCACGCGAACTACGGCTTACTGCTGATCCAATTAACGCGAATGTGAACGTAGCCTTATGTTACATCGTGTTTTTTTTAAATGTTGCATGCTGTATTCGTAATTTGGTATGATTTTTCAGTTGCATTTGTGAGTAAGGTAATAATTATATAGGATTATTACTAGCTTAATGAAAGCTTAGTTTGATTTTATGGGGGAATTTTGTGTGCAGCGGTGGACATTTTATGGCTGAGATGATTCCTATAGGGTAGGTGCCTGGGTATTATGGGTATATGAAAATTAAAAATCGTATAAGTCCGTCAGTTAGGTAATGAAAAAATGTTAGACACGTATTTTTTTTAATACTTACGTAAAAGAGCGTTAGCTTTAGGAGTCTCCCACTCTTATTTCTCTTAGTCACACGATATTTCAAATAAATATATCATCGTAAGTATTTAATTTTAAGTGAAAAGAAAAAATACGTGACTAATGTTTTAAATTAATCTACCAGATGGACATTAAAGTAAAATGTAAGAAACTATCATATTCTAACTAATAATTATGCTGAAGATTAAAAGCATAGTATTTATTTTTATTTATTTTTTTTATTTTTTTTTTAAACGTTGCCCCACACTAGGATTTTCTCCTGTGTCGGGGGTGCGTTTACAAACATACAAGTTCACATACACAATGACACCCAGACCCGAAACAACAATTTGTGGATCACACAAAGTGTTGTCCCGTGCGGGAATCGAACCCGCGACACGTTGCACGGCAGCCGGTTGCCCAGCCACCGCACCAACCGTGCAGTCAATACATTATCAATTTAATACTTTATTGATTGATGCCTCACTGGCCGAGTGGTCGCAAGTGCGACTGCCGGGCAAGGGGTCTCGGGTTCGATTTCCGGGTCGGGCAAAGTATTACTGGGTTTTCAAAAAAATTCAGTAGTAGCACGGAGTCTGGAATTGTGCCCGGTATATGGCAATAGACCACTCCCTATTACATGGGACTCATAACATAAATAGTAAAAAGTGGGTGTTACGTTTGTACAGTGGTATAATGTGCACCTCTGCCTACCCCTTCGGGGATAAAAGGCGTGATGTTATGTAATGTAATGATTGATGATATCTGTGAATGTGAAACATTCTCAACATCTATGGAATTTGTATCTCGTATGTAGAGCAGAGCAACATTGTAGGGGATTATTTATAACACCTTGATAAGAATTTGAAAGTACTTACATAACAATTGCTATCGACCATTGCCAAATACTGACACTAAAATAAAACAAATGCAGTACAGTCTATTTTAAACCTATTGATGTAGTTATTAAAATTCAATTATAAAAGGACGATTGTATTTTACCAAACAGCGCTATCCATTTTATTCCATCTTTCTTTTCACTAACACAACGTTAAATTTTTGTATATCTTATAATAAATCTTGTTACCACTTATCAGTTTAACTATGCCAAAAATTACTTACGATAATATTAAAATCTTGTTTTTTTAATAAATCGACATTTGTTATTGATAATGATATTCAAACAAATGAGGACAATAGCAAATGGGGATGATGACAGGGTATGAAAATTAAAAATATAATTAGTCCGTAAGTTAGGTAATGAAAAAATATTAGACACGTATTTTTTTATTTTGTCGTATAATAAAACAATACTTAGATAAAACGAAACAAAGTTTAGGAGTGGGGGCTAAAACGTCATTTCTTAGTATAAAATGTACTGAGAAGTGACGTCACGCGACATTTCAAATCAATATATCTTCGAAACTATTCGTTTCTGTGAGAAAATAAAAAATACGTGTCTAATGTTTTTAAATAATCTATCAGACGGACATTAAAATAAAAATTAGTCGTCTACCCCATTGTAACCAAAAAAGAAACTGTTAAAAAACATAATTATAAAAAACTAATGTTATATAGTTGACGATGATGATTGTTCTTGGTGGTGGGTTCTCAGGGGCGTGAAATAACGTTC